TTTTCAGATACCATGATGATTGAATTATTTCTGATTAGATCTAGAATTATAAGGAGCAAGTACTTTTTGATCTATCAAAGACTTTTTGAAAGCTTTAACAGTAGAAAAACCAATTAATTTCGATAATATATTATACCACTTTCTCCATGAAGCCACTTTTTGTTACATGTCAATATATAAATTCGGGACAAAACGGGTTAATTCATCATTACTTAGTTCAGAATAAATTATTTAGTTATACTTTGAACAAACATTAATTATATCTATGATTAAACTAACTGTAATTAAAGAAAAGGCAAAGTAAGTCTGTCAAATTAGCGACCTTTTTTTATTTATTTACAACCTGATTCTGTACGAATTCTTTTATGAATCACCCGTCCCCAAGGAGTTAAGTTTTAAAAGGGCTCTAGCTAACATAACATACTTTCAGTAATTTAAAAAGTATTGTAAAATGTTATTGGCAACAACAGGTTGTAAATAAAAAAATTTCCATTATCTTCTCTATAACAAAGCAAATTCTATAAAAATATGTAACGCCTAGTTTTAGGTCCAGGCAATTTCCCGGAGTAAGAAGCAATAGTTTTTCCCGCCTTTCAAGAAACCATTTGCTTTCGTGCCGCCCATCCGAGAGTCATTACCCTCAGGAGAGCTTATTTAGTACCACATATAATAGACTGAAAACTAAGCTAGTAGAAAATTAGAAATCATATAAATGTATATATGCAAATACAAGTGGTAGGAAGAGATTATTTGAAAGAAGTTATTTTTTTGTTAGATTATAATGGGCATCATAGTTTCGAAAATAACTCTTACCATTTCCAGTGGCTTATTATAAGTGCAAACATAGCTATTTTTTGTTACTGGAAACATAAAAAACTAATTAACTTCTTTATTTTGCTAAAGAGAGGAAATCTTTTAATCTATAATATTTTAATCGGGCTATAAAATATTAGAGCAGCAAATTCGATTGAAAATGAAATTACTGAGAGAAACGTTACTTAACTATAGTTTTGGACTAATAGTATAAGTTTCAGATACTCGCTGTCCCACAAAATCACGGTGTAAAAATGCTTGCTCCCAAATTAGAGAAAAAATATTTTTTATTTATTTATTAGTCGTCATTGTAATTCTATGCGTTTTTATATTTAAATCATTACTTTTTATTTTGTAATCGAAAGTCCGAAAAAAGATAATTTAATATAAAACAATGGGTCTGTTTAAAATACTCTTTTAAGAAAAACAAAACAGTTTTACTACTCGTGTGTAAAACAAATTTAGGAAATGGAATGAGTTGATGGTAATTCGAGTAACACAAATTTTCTGAGAAAAATATCGAAATCGTTGTTTGACACTTTTTGTTGAGAAATAATTTGGTTAAAAATAATTTTTCGTTAAAAAAAAAAGAAACAAAGTTTACAAAAACTGCTTTATGTTTAAAGATGACAAAGAATATTCGGTAAAGTTAATAAATAAAGGAGGGAATACTTGCGTTTGAAACGCCTACTTTCCTCTTAAAATCCAAACAGGACGCATTCCTTACAGATTTGAAAGCTTAAATACATTCATGAAACCTCCGCCTAGTTTGCAATGGAAAATATAGTGTGCTCTTTCTCAGTTGTGTTTAGAATTACCTACGATATTACATCTTGAATGTTACTTTAAGTGTGGCAAATCTTTCATTTGGTGAGTTTAACTTCTGAATTCGTATTGTAAATCGAATAGTTTGAAGCTGCGACAATTGTACAGTACTTCAAAATAAGAAACGGACCCTCCTGATTAACTTTTGATCTAACGATCGGATCTTCACGCTCTAGGACACAATCTAAATAATTCATGGGGGTGACTTCAAATACGCTAATTACTAAGTGCAAACGATATTTTAATGAAATAAGACACAAAAGTGTACTTTCTCAGAATAAATATACCTTATTTTTTGACGGATTCGGATTTCAAACCCTCGAAATATAAGGGATAACCTCTATCTGGAAAATAAGGCTGCTCTAGTTTTGTCAGAAAAATGATTCAAAGTTTGGACCCCTTCATAATAATTTTCAAGTGAATTGTAAAATTTTTGCTTGCAATTATAAAATTCGTTTATCCAAAGATAATTCCATGATTTTAGTAAAAATCTATAATTTTTATCATGTTATTTAATAATGGCCAGAAGAATTTTGAAATGTAAAGTATGAAAATTTTTACGTAATTTTAAAAAAACACAATTTCAAATGGAAAAGTACAAAAGTTGAGCTACGTCAAACCAATGGTTCAAGAGAAATCGAATTTTAAAAGTACGACTTTTGGAAAATTAAAATACTTTTCAATTAAATTAAAAAATAAAAAATTATAAATATTTACTTAAAGTGATGTTCGGAATTATCTTTAGAAAAACAGGATCTATAATTGTATGCTGGAACTTTTTACTTAGTTTAAAAAGCTCTCGAGACATGAAAAAATAATCGAAAAATAAAATTAAGATTAAGGATTAAAAACTTTGTTCCATACTATGGGGACTAAGTTTCCCAGATTGCGGCAATCTCCACATTTTTGTGGTTAGAAATCTGAATCCGTTAAAAAAATGGTATGTTTATTCAGAGAAGGTACATTTTTTTTGTTGAGTGTATCGTGACTTAAACTACAGTTCGCACCAATTAATTAGCTGAATAGTGAGTTTTATAAGCTGAAAATCCGATCATTCGATCAAAAATTATTCAGGTGGGTCCGTGCACTATATAACAAGTAATAAATTTTCTTAACAAAGGTTGTGTACTGGATGCCGTAAAACCAGATATATGTGATAATATCATCACTGGAATGTATGGGTCTAACAGGTCTATATACTGAAATACGACCACCCCCTTTACTGCCATCTCTATAACTTTTCGAGCCTCCTCCCCCTGTTATCTTGTTTTTCCAAGATTTAACTTTACCAACAATTTTCTTAAAGGTAGACTTTCCGTGTAGAACCAGTTGTAAGTCGCCGTTGGTCAAATTGTTCATCAAGTCATCTTTAGAAACATTATACGTTGTAACATTGTCTGATACTACGGATACTTCTAATCGAAAATCTTCTTCATATATGTTTGATGCGTTCGTATTTTTCAACAAGCCTGTAGCGAAAAAGATACTTATTTAACATTATGTATCAGTAAGAATACCTGATTTAAAATTAATCAAATTTGTATTTACACTGTAATAAATTTCTGTTAGGAAACATACTAATAATTCTGCAGTTTTCCCACAGGAAATTTCTGTTCCGCAAAACAACAGAAATTTTCTGTTAAACTACATAGCAATACAGCAATATGTCAGTAGATTGTATTTTTTTGTTCAAAAATAATATCTGTAACCACTGATACATATCGTATCTGGTGGGTACAGAATTTTTTCAGTTTTGAATATGACAAACTTTGTTATCAAAGTGGCAAGAAATAATTTGTTGTTGCTGTTACTTATGCCACTTGCCAATACCAGCAAGCCTGCTTGAAATCAAGTGAAATTTTGAGACAGAAGGTGCGTTTCTTGTTTCTTTCAGTGGCGCCATCTATGGCCAAGAATACGACTTCAGTCACACACACGATCCAGTCCGTTTTACAGGGTGGACCCAATAATACTCCATTCATTCATAAACAGATTGTTATTTTGATTTGAAGCTGTGAATGAAAAATCTCAAATTCAGTACCCCCTGAGGTATTTATTTGCTATGGGAACTTGGAGGATTCTGTGACCCCGACAGATTTAACGGGCACTAGTCACCATTTAATACGCGGGGTTCCTTCAGGCAGTGGGAAAGAAATAATTTAATACATTGAAGGAGATGCCGTCCAGCTCGTATGGTGGTCAAGGAGTTGGCCTCATACCAGGAAGGTCTTGGGGCGAATATCGCTTCGGAACGTCTGGAAAAAAAGAAAAAATTCTACGGCGATCCTTTCAAACATAATGGTTTCCACTAAATCAAAAACGCGGAATATCACGCAAAAAAAATGAAATAATTAAAAAACTAATCAAAATTTTATCTGCTTCTGCTTCACTATGCAAACCAGAGGGTTATCAGCATCTTTCATGCCAAATTTCTCTGCCGCATCGTGGCCTACAGAAAATGTTTGGTGCGTAAAAATAGTGTTCTGTAGTGTTTCGTTGCAGAAAATTTTTGTCTACGTGTTTTTTTCTTCCGTATCATAACATAAATTTTTGTGCAGTTTACACTTCTTAAAATTATTTTAGTGTAATTTATAATTTGTTGAATTAAACTTGGTATAGCGGAATAACTGAGTGCATTTGTATAAAAATAAATACCAATTACTTACTGCCCCATACTGTTAATAATTCTGGATGAAATTGCGGTTAAGAGTGCTGGCACCCTGAGTGCAGCATCTGTAACAATTATCTAACCGTGAAATTTCATAACTTCATTTTTACAGTAATAGTTATAGATTACAGTGATTCAGTGATTTTACAGTAAATGTTACTGTAAAAATTACGATAATCAAATTTTTTGTTTCGTAAAATTTCGCGGTAAAATGTACCGACACCCTGAGGGTCGAGACTTTTTTTTACAGTGTTTCCAAAAATTGTGTTCTTTCACTGAGATATAAAGTATGGTCAAAACTACAAAAACATGGTGAAATTTATCGTGTTTCTGGTTCTATGGAAATACCAAAAAGCTCGGTAATTTTAACGACGCGTTGTTTTTGAATTAAAAAAAAAAAAAANGAAAAAGAAAAACAAATAAGATATATTAAATTTTAATGAAAAAAGTAAAACAAATAAAGTACTGCATTTAATTTGATTGAAAAAAAAGAAACAAATAAGACATGATATCGAATTTTAATAAAAAAAAAGAAAAAAACTCTTTAAGTAAATATAGATTAAAATAAAGCTAAACGTTAATTTAATTAAATGAGACAAATAAAATATTACGTTACATATGAATAAAATAACACAAATGAAACATAACGTAAATTTTTATTGAAGTAAAACATATTAACATATTTTTGAATTACAAATTTATCCATGACAATAGTTTAAAAATTGCGAACATTTTGAACATCTATTTTAACACATTTCTTTTAAGATAATTATTACATACATTAACATACTTTTTATGAAGCACAAAATCCCTCAAATCCATTTCAAATTACATTCACAAACTGAGATGCTTATTGTAAGAAAATTTTGCAATAATTTATTGTTGTTGTTGTCGTGTCTAAGCATACAGAGCTAGTGCAAAGATTAGAGTCCTCCAAAAGTCTTAATAACAAGATTTGCAAGTTCTGGAATCCGATGGCCATGGAGAATTTCGATTGGGGGTGCTCCAAGTTGAAAGAGGGAGCCGATGGCAGTCAAAACCATAGTCTGGAGTTAGTTGCAAATGAGGACAGTACTTGCAGATGGGATAGAATTTTATATTGGTGTGTGAGATCTTCATGCCTTTGAAATGTCTAGTATGCGTAGCCTAGCTATTGTAGAGGAGAAGTTTCGTGGGCAGTTCAGATCGGGGATTGTTGCATTGCTGAAAAGCTGGTTGTATATCCTTCGCCTGGCGACAGCATTCGCATCTGCTCAGATGACAGCTCGAGGTTGATCTTCGTCGCGTGCAAGGGCATCTGAGCATTCGTTCCCCTCGATTCAAACATGAGCTGGTATCCACTGGAGAGTGCAACCGGATTTTTAGTAAATGGAGAAGGGTATTAATTTTTTGCGTTATTGATGTTCAAAATTACAAGAAAAATCATTTATTTTTCTAGTAATTTTGTGTATAGAATTACAGTTTTAAATTTAAACATTTAAGGGATAATGTAAACCGTTTTTAATGTATACTGCTTTAATGTACAGACTGTTAAACACTGTTTCTAATGTATAAAAATTTTTTAAACACATCTCTAAAAATTTTAATATTTTATAGAGCAGTATTTATTATTATTACACGTATGTTCCTCATTCTTTTTTAAAATCATCTCGCTTTCTTCTTTCTTATCTTTTTCATTGCTCTCCTTTTTGTTCACTTTCTCCTTTTCTCCCTGGCTGTTGTCTTTGTTCTTGTTCACCATTTCAATGTTCTCATCCTCATTTTTTTCACACCTTTTACTTATCCATAGTGCAATCCCGACACCCACACCTAAGAAACCTAACCACCCAATCATGATATATGTGATTGTTGAATCACCACTGGAATGATTGTATTTTCTTATCGGTCTATATATGGTAATGCGACCACCCCCTTTACTGCCACCTTTGTTACTTTTCGAGCCTCCTCCCCCTGTTTTACCTTTACCACCTATTTTCAAGGTAGACTTTTCTTGTAGAACTAATGGTAAGTCACCGTTGGTCAAATTGTTCATCAAGTCATCTTTAGAAACATTATATGCTGTTACATTGTCTGATACTACAGATACTTCTGATCGAAAATCTTCCTCATATTTGTTTGATGCGTTCGTATCTTTCAACAAGCCTGTAACGAAGAAGATATTTATTTAACACTATGTATAAGTAAGAATAGATGATTTAAAAGCTGAAAATTAATCAAAGTTGTATTTACACTGTAAAAAATTTCTGTTATGAAACATAATTCTGTAGTTTTCCACCGGGAAATTTCTGTTCTGCAAAACAACAGAAATTTTCTGTTAAATTACATAGCAATCCATCAGTATTTTGTATTTTTCTGTTCAAAAATAATATCTGTAACCACTGATACATATCGTATCTGTTGGGTACAGATTTTTTTCCAGTTTTGAATGTGACAAACTTTGTTTTCAAAGTGGCAAGAAATAATTTGTTGTTGTTGTTACTTATGCCACTTGCCAATACCAGCTATCCTGCTTGAAATCAAGCGAAATTTTAAGGCAGAAGGTGCGCTTCTTGTTTTTTTCAGTGGCGCCATCTATGGCCAAGAAAACGACTTCAGCCACACGCATGACCCAGTCCGTTTTACAGGGGGGGGGGGACCCAATAATACTCCATTCATTCATAAACAGATTGTAATTTTGATTTAAAGCTGTGAATGATAAATCTCCAATTCAGTACCCCCAGAGGTATTTATTTGCTATGGGAATGTGAAGGATTCTGTGACCCGGACAGATTTAACGGGCACTAGTCACCATTTAATACACGGGGTTTCTTCAGGAGGCGGGAAAGAAATAATTTAATACATTGAAGCAGAGGCCGTCCAGCGTGTATGGTGGTCAAGGAGTTAACCTCATACCAGGTAGGTCATGGGGCGAATATCGCGTCGGAGCGTCTGAACATAACGATGGAAAAAAAGAAAAAATTCTACGGCGATCATTTCATACATGATGGTTTCCATTTAATCCAAAACGCGGAATATCACGCAAAAAGTGGAATAATTAAAAAACTAATCAAAATTTTTATCTGTTTCTGTTTCACTATGCAAACCAGAGGGTTATCAGCTACTTTCAAGCCGAAGTTCTCTGCCGTATTGTAACCCGCGGAAAATATTTGGTACGTAAAAATATTTTCTGCAGTGTTTCGTTGCAGGAAATTTTTGTTTACGTGTTTTTTCCCCCCCCGCAGCATACGGATGAACTCTAGTAGCTTTACAGGCAGAAACTTTCCGCATTATAACACAATTTTTTGTGCGGTTTATATTTCTCAAATTTATTTTAGTGTAATTTTTGGTGGGATTTATAATTTGTTTAATTAAAATAGGTTCATTGGAATAATTGAGTGTTCTTTTATAAAAATAAATACCTACTACTTACTGCCCCATACTGTTAATAATTCCTGATCAAATACCAAATACCCTGAGTCTGATACTCTGATCCCTGAGTCTGATACTGATACTTTAGAGCGTGGCATAAAAACTATTTATTCGATCAAATTTATTTTTAAGTTTTTTAATTTTTACTAAATGTGTGCTAATAAGAACTATAATTTTGAAAACCAGAACTTCCGATGAACCGTTACCACATGGACGAAAAAATTATTGAATGAATTATTTAAATACCGTATATTTTGGGTTTTATTACTAGAATTTTAATCTTTATTGAAGAGAAATTAAAAAAAAATTAATTACTATGCAGTACGTTAATTTTATCAAAATTGTTTTCTCCGTGTTGAATGCTTTGATGTGAATATAGTGCAACCTGTCAAATTAATCAAATTTGTAAGTCAACCACATGTTTGAGTTAACCCTATTATCAAGAACCAAATTTACCCTATATAAAGGGGGGGGGGCATTAGCAACCCGACCACATGTATGTAACATTAATTTAGTCGTCTGAAATAAGTCAATTTTTCCAGGAGTGTTATGAAATGCTATTTTAAACCATCCATAAGTTAACAGGTAAAAAATTTCAGAACATTTTCTACATAATTGTGTTGCATATTAAAATTTCTTCAAATTAGTAGTGAAATAAAATTAAAAGCTAACCTTAACCTTTTTATAATTTGAAACTCATAAAGTCTTTTGTAACAAATAGATTTGTAAGTAAAATAAAATAAGTTATAAAGTGGTGAATTGAATATTTTTTATTAATTTTTTTACATTAATATTTTCTGCAGAAATGTTCTCGTTTTTTTTGAGATCAGAAATGCAAGTATAAAATTAAGGTATTTCACTATAAAACGGTTCCCCTCTGAAACACAATGCTTTTAATATGTAAAAAAAAAAAATTTAACACATTTTTTTTTCTCTTTAAATAGTTTTAATATTTTGTGGGACAGAATTTTCCATAATATACATATTTTCATTATTTTCCTACCGGTCATTTATTCTAAGTACTTGGAAAAATTATTTATAATGAATAGCAGGCAGGCAAGACTAACAAATTTGCACACCTAAACTAATATTTTAAACTGATCAGTTTAATATTAAATTTATGTAACAAATTGTGATTCGTTCCATAAATAATCTAATTTGTTTAAGGTATTTGCTAAACAAAATTTTAAAGCTATTTTAAAAAAATAACACTTGATTACACTTATCGTTATTTTCTTTTGTAATATGTAAAGAATGTACACCGAGAAAAAAAAAGTATGGTTCAAATACCAGAATACAGTAAAATTGGTCACGTTTCTGGCTTTGTGGAAATACTAAGAAGCTCGGTGATTTTTACCGAAGTGCTTTGGTAATGATTTTGGTAAAATTAGCAATGAAATATGGTTTTATAATAAGTGATAAAATTTGGTAAATGTGGTAAAGTTTGGTAATTTTATCATGATGCCTTAGAGTACAGCATAAAAACAATTTATTCGATTAAATTTACTTTTTAGTTTGTTTCTTTTTTTTTTTTTTACTAAATGTGTGATAAGAAAAATAACTTTAAAAACCAGGTAACCCGTAAATCACTACCAAATGAACGGAAAAATTTCCAAATGAATAGTTTAAAAACAGTATATTTTATTTTATTAACCATAATTTCTTTTTTCTTTTCACCTGAATTGTTTTTATCATGCAATGCATTAATTTTACCAGACATTTTTTTTCTCCGTCTGTAAATAACAATATAAATAACACGAGCAATATAAATAACATGGTATTTATATAAGCAAAATATAATGATTAAAAAAAATGGAATGACAAATAAATGACACATACCCTTTTATAGGATGACCACTGAAGTAATGCAAGCTGTCAACTTACACTAGTTTCTCTGTATTTTATTTTTTATTGAACTTTACATAGTAATAGTTCATGCAATATATGTTATGATCACTAAATTTGTAACATATGATCACTAAATTTGTAACAACATAACGAACAATAATTTTAATTATTGTTCATTATGTTAAATGAAAAAAAAAATTTTTTTTCTCGCTCTTTTTTTTTGTTGTCTATTTATCATTTTTGACAATGTTCGTTATTATGCAATATTTAATGAATGACTTAAATAAATAGTATCAATGGTTAGATAAGCTTGATTGTAGATAACCTTGAGGTTCATTTATCAACCATGTCAACCTTTATCTATCAAAATGTACCACAAGATAAGATTAACATGTTTTATATGTTAGTGAATTGGTATTTAATATTTGTAGTGGTAGTTACGTCACATTACTCCCTTTCCAGAATTTTATCTGTGATAAAAGTCGAGGAACGAATACCATTAGTTGACTTATGCTGTGTTTTTTTACTTATAAAATTATTATTATTTTTTTTATTTATATAATTTTGATCGTTATATTTTTTCTTCATTTTTGTTTATTTATATCATATTGCTCATTTTTTTGTTCTTCAATTTTAGTTTATTGACCGGGAACAGTATTATTAATTGCTCCTGTTAAATTTTTATTATATGATTTTTTTGACTGATTCCTTGCCCCGTAGATGCCAGATAGTTGAAAATTAACTGCGATGTTCATATTAGTGAAAAATCATGCATCAAACTGTACTGAAATCACTGTATAAATCGTTATTACTGTATAAATCATGCGTTCCTACTAGGAATCTGGTAACTGCACTGCACCTTTAAGCAACTTATATTATTAAAATTACGTGGAAAGTAATTTCTACCGAAATAATAATAAATTTACAGAGCCGTTAAACAACTTACATTATTAAAATAGCGTATAAATGAACTTCTACCGAAATAATGGTAATTTTAGTGCAGTGTTAAACAACTTATATAATTAATGTAACTTAAAAATAAATTTCATCAGAATTCTGGTAATTTCAATGCCCTGCTGAACAATTTATATTATAAATATCATTTAGAAATACGAGTAAGTTTCTATTTGAATTCTGGTTAATTCAAAAAGTTGTTAAAAGAAACTTATGTTATTAAAATAGCGTAGAAATTAGTTTGTACCGAAATAAAGGTTAATTCAATGCTCTGTTAAATAACTTATATTATTAATGTAACTTAGAAATAAGTTTCTATTGGAATCCTAGTAGACTCAATGTGTTGTTAAATAAATTATGTTTTTAAAATAACTTGGAAGTAATTTTCTATCGGTATTATGGTAAATCAATTGTGCTGTTAGGCAACTTACAATATAAAAATAACGTACAAGTTAATTTCGTCCAAAATAATGGTAAATTCACAGTGTTGTTAAGCAATTTATATTACTAAAATAAGGTAAAAATTAATTTCTACCTAAGTAATGGTAATTTCAGAGATCTGTTAAACAACTTATATTATTAATGTAACTTAGAAATAAGTTTCTATTAAAATTCTGGTAAGTTCAATGCATTGTTAAGCAACTTTTATTCCTAAAATAACAGGGAAAATAATCAAATTCAAAAAGTTGGCGGTCATTTCGAGGCTATGAAAAATATAATCTTCAATGCTAAATGGCAAAATTCAAAATGGAAGGAAGAAACTGATTTTATAAAATAACATTTTTATATAATATAATTTCTTAAAAAGTAACATTATGTTTTACAACGTTTGCACTTAGTTAAAACAATATAGCAAGAATAACATAAAGCATATCCAGCCAGCATATAGAATGATATAGCATATCGGACTAAAAAATGTAAGCTTACCATTGAAAACTGGCGCACTATCGGACAGATCAAAACAAAACAACGCCAAGGTAAATAAGAGAATTTTTTGCGTATCCATTTTCTTTATTTACAAAAGATGATAACGCCTTTCAGTTCCAAGAAACGGATCGAAATGAACGATTAAAATGAATCAATAGATGTTATATTTTATGATATGAGTGTAGGCGATAAAAGTGTGACACCTCTGATAAGAAATCGAAAGAAGATATAAAAACAATGTAAAGTATTACAATAAAGAGGTAATGTTTATGAAATGATTGTGACACTCATTTTTAAGTTAAGTGCTATTTTTAAATTTTACTAACTAAAATTAGTCATCACTCCCTAAAGTAGGAAGGTGAATGATTTCATTGATTTTGGTTACTAATACTATCATTCAAAACACATGAACAGGTCTTACTTGTGTATCTGTCGGATGAAGATGAGTTAGGCAAACATTTGGAGTAC